AAATTTCTGAGCTTCCAGCATGCCTTCGTAACTCACCTGGTAGAGCGCTTGCCACTTTTGGGTATGGTGTTTCTGTCGCTGATTCGAATCCAGCCGAAGTCAAGATTTTTCGCAAATGGATCTCTTCTAAAATATCCTAATTGTCTGATCGCCTTCAGAGGAGATACTGTTACTGTCCTGCTAATTCCAGTCCATGATCTCAAGACTGACTTCTTCCCATATGCAGAGACAAGGCACTGGTGCTTGGAATCACCTAAGTTTGCGAGCAGTTTTACCAAAAACACATAGATAACATATTATTTAGAGACCCAGTTGAGTGGTGCTCATTTCCAGGGAGTTCTGCTCCGGGACCCAGGCTGCGTTTTGACTAACACCATGCCACTTTCGTGTGACAAACAACCCCAACCATGGTATCACTTTGTTTCGTTTATATAAACGTTATTAAAATAAATCAGAATTTTATATTTACTATCATCTACTTAGCTTGTTAGTTATGGATATATTTGGTCAGCCCACTACTATCCGACTTGGCCACTGGGTCCAATAAGGAAGACCGTGACTAAGTGAAATATCGTCACGTATCTGCTGGTGCTGAGTATAGTATTTTGACTGTTTGATAATTACTGTGTGGTCAGCTTGACAGAATATGATTCCCGTAAAAAAAAGTTTCCGTCCTGTACTAATTTGAACATCGACACTTGGGAACTGTCAGTAACGACAACAGAAAGCGGAAATTCTAATCCACTTGGTGTTGATTACTAGTGGTGAATATTTCCTTGTTTTCTTGTCACTGTTTAAGGAGTTAACAAGCAATTTCTGACGTTTTACTAAGTTGACCTAGTGGTCTCAAATTGTCTTGGCTCAAACATATGCATTATTCGTAAGCATAAGTAAACAGACATGAGAAACATCCAACCTGTTCAGCTCGACTTTAATTGTCCGCGAGAATAAAGCCTAACAAATTGGTTGGCGTCTTGCGTATGTTCTTGATAACTTGAAAAATAGAACGAACATTCATTTTTAAAGATCGTGGCTGATCGTTGGACCTAGCACCTCGCCGCGTTAGTTACAGTTTAACATTCAAGGTATCTCTACAGGTTTTGTCTTAGGTGTGGACATGTAGTAAATTATGCGACCACAATCTGCGTCCGTAACCGCGGGGCGTATAGGGATGAAACAGTCGATCGTAATTCCGTATTTCTCCAACTGTACCACCCCAGTAACCGGGGACATACGGCCTAGAAAGTAAGCCATGTTGATACCAGACAATTGTGGGAATATTGTTACCTCAATTTGATGAATTATGGTAGTGTCGGGTGTTCTGACATCGACAGTTGCGATCAGTCGTACACCTCCCTTGACGTCAGTATTGACTGTTCAGTTTGTGAGGAGGTTTAGACTTAGTTGGATCAGATACCACGGGTATCAGCTAGTCGGTTACCACACCCAAATCACTAGGGGAGCAGTAGCCATCGGATCTGAGGTGAACGACTGACGAACGAGTTTAGGTGAATAAAGACAGTCAATGACACTCTGGAGAAAAGGAATGACTTTCTCCTGCCGCGTTGACGATCTGAGCCTATCAATGATAAACAGTAGGACATGTATGAGTTAGTCAAATATTGTGACCCTATGCGATTAAATTACTTGTGGATTAATAACAGTCAAGAGAGTGGGGTAATGCAATCCACAAAACAAACAAAGCCTTACTCCTGGCTGTGTTTGTACAAAATATACAGTCATCTTAGTGTTTTGTGTTTGAATTTAGGCTGGAGATTTTTGGGATTAGATCATGTTTCCACACCCTACTTGCTTACTAAACCAGAACAAGTCCGTTTTCTTTTCAACCACGCCCGAATAAGAATTTATCACTACGTACCTCAACTGACAAATCTTCATCAATAGCAAACATTTTTCGGACTAGAAGAACAGGAAAATATTCACGTGTATGTGGAAAAGCAAGTGCTTAGGGAGTCACGTACACGTTTAGAAAGAGTCAGCATATGAGGTAATTTTCTTTTCACAATACGAGCTGAGACACTACCGCCTTAAATCTTTACCTACAAGAACTACTTTACACATTCTGCTTGTATTGATTTATTGACTCACTAAATCATGAATTCGTTAAATCAATGATCAACTTGCTAGCACCAGTTAGTGCCTATTTTGCCGTATACTACAATGGATATATCGGATCAGCTTCAATTCAGGTCAACAAGACACACACGGAGTCTTTTTTCAAGTCGATCAGGGAACCTGAGCATTTTATGAAAGCAAATGTATAGTGATTCTTTTCGAAACAGACTGGTTGGAAAGTCTTTCGGAATCTGAAGGTTGTGACCAAATGTGAGTGACGTTCAATATGATAAAGAGAATGTGGTTGAGGGTTCGCTTACGACAATTTATTGGTGACTAGTGTGTGGTCCATTTCACAATGATCAAAATGGCCAAATCACGCCAACAAGACCGATGTTACATTGTCAGATACGACAAGGAGGCTTACTAGTGATCATCTCTGATAAAGGGTGGAGCACGGGTCTGGAGCTTCCATTGAAAGGCGGTTGGCTGGAGAGTCCACCTGAATGCAACTGTGGGTCTTGCTTAACTGGTATGGGGAAAGTTTTTCAACTACTTACGGGTAATTATCTTTGGTACGCAAAACCTTATAACCGTAGGGAAGAAGAACGCCCCTTTATTTGTGTCTGATCTTGTTTTCGAAACACAAGTCAGGAAATCTTCTGAGTTCTGATAGTCATTACATACATATGAATGACCTATAGACTACAACTTTTTCAATGGGAGAAAAACACGAACTTCATATTCCCATTTAAAATTTAAGGAACAGTAAATGGGCTAGCAGTGTGAAGGCCTTTTTGGAACAAACCTATGCAAACATTCGCATTCATACTTAAACTTTTGTTCATAAGCATCTAGATGTACACTACCTGTCCAAGAATTTCTTACACGGTGCTTTTGTCACAGCAAATAACACAAGAAATAGTGTTGCTCTTAGGTGGATGGTATCGACAGCTAGGAGCACATTCATATGAGAAAAAAGCACCTTTGCCCATTGCATTTGACTAGTCTGGTTGCTAGAACATTTGTTGTTAGTCAACTGTTCACAAAAATGACTGAAATAACTAATGCTAAGCTATTCGATTCCTTTGTGAAAACGACTGTGCATGCGGGCTAAGCCGAAATGAAACAGGCTGTCTTTGTTCAAAAGAATTCTGGAAGCCACGCCGAATAACATGGGAAATCAGTGAACGCGATCATTCAAAAGCCCAACCGAACGAGAATCAATCCGGTGGGACTGTGTGAGTTTGCTAACTACTATGCCAACAGTTATAGTTCCCATAAAAGGTTTTGGCAACAATCGTAGTAAAAAAGAAAATTTATTCACTTGATATATCACTTCATATGTGACAGCATAAGAAGGTATCCCGCTTTTGCGGTGAGACAAACAAGCACTAGATGTGAACCACAGACTACATGTCGTGTTGAAAATGTCTCCAGAATTGGCAAACCGATCAATAAAGTGTCAGTCAACCTCGTCAAGAACAGGCTCTAAAGGCAACCCGAATCAATCGTGTCATGATGAATGTTGATGACGTAACTTCGCTACAGGTCATCAGAAAAGTGTAAATGGTTGTCTTCCCCGATAGATCGAGACGGTCGCTAGCACTAATTACATGCGCAGCACACATAGAGATGAGAATTTTTGATTCTTTGATTAGTCTAGCAACATTGAAGGAAAGGCACAATGATACGACGGATACCGTTCTTCGTGATATGGACATCTGTAATGCAATCTCAATCTTGTTTATTTTTGGATTCGCAGCACACCACGTCAAACTGTTTGTCGGATGACAGAGTGGCAACGTATTTATCTTCATCGAATGACAACAGCAGACACATACTCGTCACGATTAATTCACTTGGTGGAGTTAAATTGTTCTCTCTGTATGTGTACACTCAATTGTGTCTCGTTTACCTAGTTGTTTGATTTTGCCCACATAGTCGGATGTGTATCCGAATTTCAAAGACACTCATCTGCTTCATAATCTTAATCAGCTTGAAATGACTTAAACACACTCTGCAACAACCGGGCTAGAATACAAATTAAAATCCACTGCAAACTGATCGTAAATAGGGAGAAGAATACGCTTTGTGGCGATGGCAGGTTTATCGTTCATTCATCTAAGTGACAGGGAGACAGTTGTTCCGGTAGTTCAAGGAAGTAACCCAGTGATGGTCTACTGCTCCCTCTAGAGAACGACTCGATTGTTTAACAAAGAGTTATCGTCGATCTGTAAATAACAACCCAATAAATAAGATAAAGGATTTTCAATGTCATCTTCTGAAACAAGTGTTCAGTTAGTTGCCATCAACTGTTGCTTGCTGGATTATCTGGTTACTTTGAAGGCAAATCGATATCCCCTTATCAATTAAATTAGTGATAGGTTCAGTTGAACATACCAGCAAGCCTTTGTGAGGATGCAGTTAATTTTCAGCATTATATAAAACAACTGTTCCGTAAAGTTTGGCGTTGTAAATCAGTAGCTCGAGAACGTTTATGTGTTAAACTTCGTAGACTTTCAGATCTACCCATAAGCCTAGACTATGGTATTTCAAAATAAGCTTTACCATCAACTGATAAACAAAGTGGAGCAGAGCACCAACGTAGATGTTTTAAAGTGATTATCGGAGGTATACTTTGAGTGACGTACAATCTCTCGTTAATGCGCAAATTGGATCACTGCGCATTATAAATAAGGGGTATATGTGTAAGTAATCTGTGCATAAAACAAATGCAATTCATGGGTGATGTTTAATCTGTATGAAAACCAAAATCCCCTTCTACGGATCAACAATCAAAATGACGCTCACCAAGTTAGAGTTAGAAGATTCTGATGTGGAGAGAAGTTCTAGTCCGGAGGACTATCGATGGGAGTTAACAGACAGTAACTGTGTCTCCTCGAGACAGGCGATCGGGCAACCTGATCATTACTCACAAGCGAAAGTGGTTGAGCGTTCACATATGATAATCCGATCGTGCCTAACGTGAGTTCAATGGCGCAGTGGTTAACACGGTTGCCTGC